TTCCAAACCCATAAGACCTTTGTTCATCTTCGGAACACAAATGAAGATATTTTTAATAAAATCCGAGCTTTCTGACCCTGCACAGACAGCAACGCAACTGACATGTTGAAGGCCCAAAGAGGTAGTAAGGACATCATTAAAATAGTCCATGTGACATCTTGTGATTATAGTATATGTGATTATGACGACATAGAGTTTGTGTTCCCATTCAGTAAACCATTATTCACTGTGACCAGATTAGGCGAGTTTAATTGGAGAACCAGATGAATCTGAAAAGAACGATTCATTCACAAATCTCATGATCTCTCATGAACCTGTTATTAGTTTTAGTCTGTTTTGACACAAAACTATTACATGGCTTCAGAACAATTTGTATGGACCATTTTTGTGTTCTTTTGTAGCTTGAAAACTTCATTGTGATTGCATGGAAATTAGTGACCAGTAGAGAAATTCTCTTTAAGACTGATTGGGCAGTGAGTCAGTTAAACAGCTTGTGTCGTGAAATTCAACGGTGACGTTAAACACCTGCGTGTTAATTTGCATTTGTTCCGTTGATTCTAATTAGTTCTATTAGTAGCTACACATTCATCCATCTCGCAGCTGTAGCGACTTTTGTCTGTGTGGTTGAGTGCGTTTCCCAGTATAGCTCTCACTCTTTATTTCAAATCACGCCATTTCTTCTGTGACGCTGTTCCATCCTCATATAGTTCAAATATAAGTTTTTCAACCATTCCATGAATCACTCCGACATTTTTAAAGCTCTGCGGCTAAGGATCGTTAGACTCTAATGACTAATTTGCAACAAATGATTCTTTCTAATTCCGTTTATTTATAATGCACCTTATCCACCTTCAAACTAAATAAAGCATGAGTGGGTGGGACTTCACTAATTAGTGTTGTAGATCATTTGAAGAAGGTTTGTCACATTTTGTTTTTCATGTCTCTGTAGTACTATCATCTCCTGGGGCAAGAGCCGAGAGAAAGATGCGTATGAGTGTCTGCTGGACCAGTTTCCCTCTGGGCCTGTAGCTGTGGTTAGCGACAGTTATGATATTTTTAAGGCTTGTAAGCACATCTGGGGGGACAAGCTGAAGGAGAGAGTGATGGAGAGGAGTGAGGATTCTGCACTCATTATTCGTCCAGACTCCGGGGACCCCGCTCAGACCCTCATAGAGGTGTGTGTATCATATACCAAGTGTGCTCAAAGTGGAGTAGCGTTCACTACAGACCTTAAGGCAGCTGTTTCAGTGATTGAACTTTATTTTAGTGGAGTCAAGACTCAAACAAATAGGCTTTTTTCCAGCTCTGTGCTGCACTGTGTCTTACAGGGCTGGCTGGTCTGTGTGAAAGTAATGCTCTAGAATATTGATTTTCCTTTTATATACTGTCTTTCAGATTAGTTTGTTGCTTGTTTGTATTTGATGAATGAAATAGTGGAGTTAAGATTGATTAGCTGGATTTATAGCCCTTTATGCTTTTAATTTTCACTTGCTTGCCTCCTTCATTTGTCTCTTCTGTCTCGCTTTTAGGTGATAAAGATTTTGGAGGAGCGTTTCGGATGTTCTCAGAACTCAGTTGGTTACAAGGTGCTCCCATCATACCTGCGCATTATACAGGGGGATGGAATTGATCTGAACTCAATTAATGAGGTAAACTAAACCTCAGATCAAGAGAGAACAAAAACATGAAATTATTGCAAATTGTAAAAATATGTTACAATATTAATATTTAAGGCATTTTGTATCAAGTAAATGCAACCTTGGATGAGCATAAGAGACTATATATATTGTTTGTTTGTTTATATATATATGTCAAATTTGTGACATTGATCATGATCATGTGAATTCCTTAGTACAGACTGCCATATGTTCTTCTTACTTTCATTGAAGCACAAGGTGCTCTTTTGGAAAATCGTCTTCAAATCATACTGGAGAACATTCAGCTTTTACACAAAAGCAAACTTGAGCACTGCTGCCAGTAAAGCAAAACATCAAAACAAATAATACGTTTAGAAATCCATGTCAATTTTTCAATTAGCACACACATTGTTATGCAAATTCTTGCGCAAATTAAATGCAAATCAAATAGTTGTGAGTAATTAAAATAAATGGACTATATTAGTGAAATGCAAAATAGAAGCTTTTTCACTGTCGTTTCAGACTTTTGGATCTCTCTCTAGTGCTCATATGACTAGCATGTTATCACATACTAATATTGCTGTCGTTATTAAATGTGTGGAATGGTGTGTACAGGGTCAACTTGATGTTTATCAACCATTCATGACTGTTTGATTATAAACAATTATTACCGATTACACAGTGGTAAATCATTGATCATAATCTGATCAGTGTTACTTTTTTTTTTTGCCTAGCACAGATTCTCGAGAAACTGAGCAATGAGGGTTGGAGTGCTGAAAATTTGTTTTTCGGTTGCGGAAGTGCACTGCTGCAGAAAATCAACAGAGACACGCTAAACTGCGCTTTTAAGTGCAGCTATGTGGAGACCAATGGCAAAGGCGTGAGTTTCTTTATCAGTTTCACTTTCAAAACATCCTGTTTAAACGAGTTAATAAAGTACATTTGAGGAGTATTGTTATTATTATTTTTTTTTAATATCATGTAATTTGTGTTTGCATAGATGGACGTCTATAAGCAGCCAGTGACGGACCCGTCTAAAGGATCCAAGCGTGGTCGTCTCTCTCTGAGGAGAAATTCAGATGGCTTCATTGAGACGGTGGAAAGAGGAGCAGGCAAACCAGAGGAGGTTAGATCAGCTTAACCTATTATTTCCCAGATATTACATTTAATTCTGTGGCAATTATAGGCTGAATATATTTGGTAAAAAATACAGTAAACAGGAATATTGTGAAATATTATTACAATTAATATTTATGTAATAAATAATAATTATAGAATGCATTTAATTTAATTTATTCCTGGGATTTTCATGAGCCATTATACTAGTGTCACATGATCCTTCAGAAATAATTCTAATATGCTGATTTACTGCTCAAGAAACATTTATTTTTATTATCAATGATGAAAACAGTTGTGCTGCTTAATAAATTTTGAAGACACCATGAACATTTTATTTTGGGATTCATTGATGGAATATAAAGTTCAAAAGAACAGCATGTGTTATATATATATATAACATTACAAATGTCTTCACTGTCACTTTTTGATCAATTTAATGCACCCTTACTGAATAAAAGTATTAGTTTCTTTAAAAAAAATCATACTGACTCCCACCTTTTGAACAGTTGTGTATGTAAAAATGTAAACAGTGCTGGTCATAGTTGGTGATCCTTTAATATGATCTTCTTTTGTAGGACATGTTGGTGACTGTGTTTGAAAATGGCACCATCCTGCAGGAGTACACTCTGGATGAGATCCGTAAAGCTGCTCAGCTTTGGGAAGAAGACGCGAGCCCTTCCCAGCACAACAAAGAGGACAACAGTACTCTGGAGAGCCACCAGAAATGCATAATGAACGGCGTGCATTAATAAACACAGTATGCGCACTGTTCTCAACACTGCCCCCTACAGACCAACCACAGACCTATTCCACAACACTCAGATGTTCATCAATAAAGCAGAACACAGTGTTGCCAATACAATATACAAATACATATCACATCTGACTTTTAGACTTTTGAGGCAACCCTTAAATTTTGGATTTGGTTGCCACCGGTTTTTATTAGTTCCTCCTTCATTTTACCACACTTTGAGATGCCAAATATCTTTGTTGGTGCTTTAGAAACATCTAAATATATTTCAGGAGTATATGACGGCAGGGTTTGCATTCGATTGATTGTAATGTTGTTAAAGCATCGCCTGGCAGTACATTGATAAATGAAGGAAACTTCATTTGAGATGATCTCATGATCGTCTGCACCAGCAATTCTGCACATGATCCCGGTTTCTGATGTGACGTACAATGACACTCTCTGAAAATGCAAAGATTAGATTTAGAAGTCACTATTTTACTTTTGGAGGATTTTGGGTGTTCTTTTAATATTTTTTAGACACCCATAATGCCAAGATAGCAATGATGCATTTTTTTTTTTTTTTTTTTTTCAAAAAATAAGTAAATAAAAATTCAGTAAGGATGCCTTAAATTGATCAAAACAGACAGTAAACACATTTACAACATTATAATAATTGATATTATAATATTATAATCATAATAAAACATTTCTATTCCAAATAAATGCTGTTCTTTTGAACTTCCTATTCATCAAAAAAAGTTTCTACAAAAATATGAAGCAGCACAACTGTCTTAAACATTGATAATAATCAGAAATGTTTCTTGAGCAGCAAATCAGCATATAAGAGTGATTTCTGAAGGACATTATACAAACACATAACAAAACAACAATAATAAACAATTAAAACACAAAGAAACTCAAAGTTCTGCCAAAATAAAAGTTCACTACAGCACAGTACTTCTTAAAGTATTATTATTATTATTATTATTTATTAAATAATTTAATAATCAATAATTATAATACATTTTTTAAACACTATTTTGAAGGTACAGTATATTACTAATTTTTTCCATGTTCCATATTCATGTTTTACCTTGCCAAAAAAAAAAAAAAAAATTATTATACTTCCATTTGATTATATTTTGAAAGATTAATATGTTTTTAGATTCTACACTGAAAAAAATAACTTGTAGGTTTTACTTAAAAAAAAATATATATATAACTATTTGCACGAACACATTTTAAGTAAATTTTACTGCTACTTATCTGTACAATCTATTTACTATTGAACTTAACTTTCATAAAGAAATTAAGTAAATATTGCATTATTACATATAACTTCACATATAAAATGAAGTCAAATCTACTTACCAAAGTTAAGTAAATTTAACAAAGAAAATAAGGAACTTTAGCTTGGCCAGTAAGTAAGTCATTTGAGTAATTTTTACTTAGTCAAAGCTTACTTTGCAATATTTTGACTTTACTTAGCATAACACATAATTAAAATCATGCAATAATCAGTTTTAAACTATTCCCATGTTGTGTTCAACATAGAGACACACACTTGAAAATGATACACCCGGTTTGTGTCTTCTTGCTGTTACATAGCTGACGTAAATTTGCTTCCTGTTTTTTAGGCACAATTTTAGAACAGCAAATTGATCCTGATGTTATAAACACTCTCAGTAAGTAAATGCTGCATAGAAAAGAATGAAACGTTTCCTAATAATAGTTATAGTGTGATTTATGTGGAGCTGGTTTTAGACTTCCATCTGAGATGCACAGAATACATCATACAAACACTTTGCAGTATTCTGTCTCCATACAGCTGCTGATGGTGCCTTAAAAACCACTCGGACCTCAGTGCCGGTCACTCACTCTTGCTTTGTCCTTTCCTCCCCTCATTTTTCACACTTAATATTGTCCATCACAGTTTGGACTCAGTTTCTCTCTTTTATCCTTCTGTGACTCACATATGATGTTCAGTGATTGCTTCCCCCCCCCGCCAAGCTTCTGTCATCTATATGCTGATGCTGAATGAGATGTGCAGTGGGTTTAATTACAGTGTACATTGATTATTGTGTCATCATCTTTGTGTTCGATCATGGAAATGACTCATTTCCAGGTTGTTCCGAACATCTGAAATGAAGCAGTTTGACCCTACCTCTTTTTTTAATCAATAAGAATGTATATTAATATGAAGTGATGATCCTTACACTTAAAAAGCGTCTATTTTGTTGTGTAAATACTCTTTAATGGTAGTTTCAATGATAAATTCGTCTTGAAATTCTAGCATTCTTGTTGCATTTTTTTGATTTTACTGAAGTGATATTTTGAATGACAAATAGACAAGCAAACAGAAAAAAAAAGATATAATAAATATAGATCGAACTTCTTCGTCTCAATCTTTCGTTTTAGTGTGTGTTTTGGTAATTTCGAAAGGAAAAAAGTAAATGTTTTGTAAATGGAAAAAAAGGAAACAGAATATGCACCAAAAGCAGTGATGGTTTTGACGGTGCCAGTATGTCTGGATTTTTTCCCAGTTTTGAATTGCATAAACACATTGTGCCCTTTTGGACAGCCTGCTTTCTTCATAACTGTCATAGCAGAAAAGGAATGGAATGCCAAAGGAAGGAATGTGACTTTCAGAATGAGGAAGAGTTATGTGTTAATTTCCTCTGCATGTCGTTTTGAGTTATGCAAAACAAAATAGAAATGTCTGTATTTCCAAGTTCCAGTGAAACCTGACAGTGGTTCAGTTTATATTCAACAGACGATGGTTTGCCTTAACACGTTTTATTGTTGCACAATTATATTGTATTCACATGAAATGTACTTTTCATACACATCCTCGTGGACATCACAAAATGCCTACTGTCATTACGTTTCACTCCCAGAAAAAAAGGTACAGAGCTGTCACTGGGGTGACAAAAGGTACAAAAGTTAAAAGGTACATCTTTGTACCTGGTTTACCTCTAAATAGTACATTAAAGGTACATTTTATTACCTCAAGTGTACATTTTGGTACATTTTAAAAGGGTACCACCCCAGTGACAGTTTTGTACCTTTTTTGTACCACTGAGACTGAAATGCGTTTTTAGGACATGAGAGTCGTGGTTTTACCATAGTAGAGTTTGGGTGAGTTTATTCCGTGTGCAGCATATTTGTATAATGCAATTTTGTCCACTGACCAAAATAGTCACACTTTCTATTTAGACAAGGGTTTAATTTGCAAAAGTCAATAAGCTTATGCGTGTATGAGACATTTCAAATAATCATCATTCTATAATTTTAAATTGCGGTTTAAAGTTTTCTCTCTCTACTTTCTATTTAGACAAGGGTTTAATTTGCAGAAGTCAATAAGCTTATGCGTGTATGAGACATTTCAAATAATCATCATTCTATAATTTTAAATTGCGGTTTAAAGTTTTCTCTCTCTTATGCTCTTAGTTTCTTATGCTCATCAGACTGCATTAGATTAAAAATACAGTAAAAACAATAATATTGTGAAATATCATTACAATTTTAAAATAAGTAGTTTTTTTTATATTCTACAATTATTTTATTCCTGTGATGTCAAACGTGACTTTTCAACATCATTACTCCAGTCCTCAGTATCACATGATCCTTCAGAAATCATTTTAATATGCTGATGTGCTGCTCATGAAACATTTCTTATTATTATCAACCATTATAACAGTTGTTCTGCTTAATATTTGTGTGGAAACTGTGATACACATTTTTCAACGTTTAACTTTAAAAAAGAACAGAAATGGAAAGCTTTTGTAACATTATAAATGTCTTTGATGTCACTTTTAATCCATTTCTTAATCATTTTCGAAGAAACCTATAATTCTGCTGTGTTTAATAACAATAACCAATCTGATCCAAATAATTTGCATAAAAACCAAACAATTCTTTTGGAAATCTGAGGACGTTTTGTCATAGACTACAGATACTCTAATGAAAGGGAGCCATCTATTGGTCATTTTCAAAAGTCCACTTCTAATGTCCCTCTGAAATCAGGACCAAGTTTATTCGACGTTAGTAAATCAAAAGTTACAGTCACATCACAATAAATCAGAAACTTAGCCTACTTTTATTTCCTAGAACGTCAAGAGACCACATGTGTCCATTCAAGTCAAGTCAAGTCTGCTTTATTGTCAATTCTTCCACATGTACGGCACATACACACAGAGAATTGAAATTGCGTTATTCTTCTCATTATATTCTTCCTGTGCCAATTAAGTGTACTCTATTAATATTTTTAATTCCAGGCAGCTTTGTAATTTGCAATTCGAATGATAGCTCATAATTAATCCAGTTATACATGCATCCATTCAATGAATCCAGAAAATGCGCGCAATGCTTACACAATTCAATACTGCTGGTGGTTGCTTGCGCAGATAATAAAACGAGGCTTGTTTCATCCATTAAAGTCAGTGTCAGACATATTTTAAATCAGCATGTCGCAGATCAGAAAGCAAATGGCATGTAGGAAAGCATCTTCAGAGTATCTGTTAATTGGCTAACACTGTTGTCACTACTGATAGGCCGCTCGGCGCTCATTGGATTAGTTGCTGCTAAGCAACATCTTTGCTAAGCTTGTTGTCATGGATTCAGATGTGAAATGGTCTGTTGACCACTGATAACAGGGTGAGGGCGGAGGTAACCATAGGTAACACTCCAGCTCTGTCGCACCTGTCTTACATTTGCGACTGTTCAAATGTCACCGGCAAGCGCGCAGCGCTGCATCATGACAGACAGCACGCATTGTGTAGACATGCACAAGAACAACAGTCGGTGGCATTTATTCATTTTTACGGCGGCAGTTAACAAAGAAGTGCGAATCGTAAGCGGAGCGCCGCTACATTATTGTGTTTGTGCGTCTGCCCATTATTTGTTTTGTTTTTTTCTCATTTGTACTCATTTCACCCCCGGAATGCAAATTTTAATCCTGATTATTTCCGCCAGATTAGTGGTGCAGAATAAAAGGAGGGATAACGCATTTACACAGCACAATTCCAGAATCTCACATTTTGTCTTTTATATTTAAGCGTATTTCACTTCATTTGTGTTTTGGTATGGGCATGGTGATTGGTTTAGCAGCCTGGTGTGAAAATGGAGCTGAAACCAAATTGAACGTTGCACCATCTCCATTTATATATAGATGGTTGTCAAAAAATCTGAAATTCTAAAGAGGAAGTGCTCATTCAGAAAGGTTCAACACTGCAGCACAGCACCAAAGGTTCATTTTCAGCCCTATAAAATGGTTCCTTCTCCGTTCTCCCAAAAAGTTCTGCTATTCAACTGAAACGATATTTTGAAAAATGTATGTTTTTTTGTTTGTTTGTTTGTTTTTTTGCCCATACAATTAAGGTCAATGGAGTCCAGTGTTTTGGACACCATTAACATTCATAGTAATGGTAAACAAACAAACAAACTTCAAAGTATCTTCTATTGTGTTCAACAGAAGAAAGAAAATCATAGAGGTTTGGAACGACATGTTGAGTAGCATTGTTATTGTTAGCTAAGGCTATTAATGTAGACTATAGGCTATATAAAAATATTAAACATTAGAGATGTTGTCTTGGCAGCTAACTAAAATAAGTTGAAGTACTAAAATTACTGAAACTGAAATAAAAAAGCTATATATATATATATATATATATATATATATATATATATATACACACACAAAAAAACACATTTTATTTCAATTTATTTCAATTAATTTATTTATTTCAGCTAGTTTTCTGAAGCACTTGATGTTCTAAAATATATATATATATATATATATATATATAAACACACAACAAAACTAATAAAAGTGACAAAAGCACATTACAAAATTACTAAAACCTAAACTAAAATTAAAATAAAAACTGAAAAAAGTAAAAAATAATAACTAATTCAATATATTACTAGGTTATAGAATATGAAAAAATACTAAAATTGTACTGATGACAAAATGTGCAATTTTGGGTGAACTATTCTGTTATTTAAACGATAGATAGATAGATAGATAGATAGACAGACAGACAGACAGACAGATAGACAGATAGACAAAACAGAGAACAGATGATCAAACTGAATCAGCTGGGCAATTAATTAAAGATGCAATGGGTAAAACCCACCCATTTTGGCGGTGATTGTTAATTACCTATTGCATCTTCAATTAATTGTTCAGCTGATTCAATTTGATCATCTGTTCTCTGTTTTGTGACTTGATCTCCTTAAATGTTTGTTAACCAGTGTTGGAACTTTAGCACTGAAGATAGTCCAGCCAGGATTGAAACGTTTGCTTTTTTGTATGTGTGTGCACAGTCACTTTTTTGTTTGTGCACTTTAGTTTTTGTTGTCACATCCATGTAAATCTTCAGGAATAAATTCCTGTTCTAATGACCTTGAACTTTGCATTTAATTTGGTGTGCAGATTTTTTGCCTTGACTTTTTGTATTTTCCTGGGAATTGAACCCATGACCCTGATGTTGCTATAGCGTCATGTCTACTGACATCATCAACAAAAGACATGGGAGTTTACTTCTTCCTTTTAAAATTTGAGAAGCATATGTTGTTTTATGTATGTATCATCTGAAAGCTAAATAAATAAGCTTTCCATTGATGTATGGTTTGTTAGGATAGGACTGTTTTGCATTCACATTTTAGCATGATGGTGACCCATCGGTTAACCAGCATGGAAAGAATCAAACCTGCGTTGCACCTCTCAGGCTCTCAGTGCAGGTTAAGTGACTGTCTTGGCCACTGCCATAATTCCTTGGTGAGCGAGCAGCGGTGTGAATCAGAATGATGTTGATTGTTCCCCAGGTCGCTCCATCATGCGTGTGCATTCCCGAGGTTTATGTCTGCGCTATTGTGGTGCACTTTACTCCAGATGCCAGTCATGCCACATCTAGCCTCTTCCCAGGCAGAGACATTAGGACTGACGAGTGGCACCATGCCACCACACATTCAAATATTACTGCTGAACCTGAGGCAGTATGGCAGCATAGTGAAAGGGTGTTACATGTTATATAGTGCACTACAAGTGCTTGAAATGATTGTGGGTTAATGTGCTCTTGATATTCATTAAAGTTTTTTAGACACTTTATCCAAAGCATTAAAGGAATAAAAATTAATCTAAAGCACAGCTGAAGACACATACAAGAATGTACGTATTCTCAATTGGAGAACCCGGAACGCGATCACGAATGGACCGAGGGGGGACCCGCTCCCTACCTCGCACCGGGCCCCGCGTCAGCAAAGGACGGCCCTGACCCTGACTAAGGTACGTTACATAATCTACAAAACGGCACAAACAGACAATCAGATAAAAAGACGTCAGAGTGTTTATAAAATGATATATGGAAATTATTAAAAAGCTTAGCCTAATCATCACGCTGCAATGCTCTAAAAAGTTTGAGATGGTGTAGGCTAATTGTCGTTCACTTTTACATAGCTACTTTTTTTGGATGTGGAGTAGAAGATGATGAAGAAGACGTAAGTTTGATAACCCGCTGCATACATGGCATTTCATTCTCTGTAAAGTAAAGATTTATTGTCCCTCTTCAGTAAAGATCATGCTGTCTAATTCTTCTGTTCCCACTTAAGGTCATTATTAAAATTCAGAGTGACCTGGTACAAAAATTTATACATTTTACTGAGCCCAATGAGTAGTTTATATAGGCACTATACAGTAAAGGTTTTTGCAGAAAAAAATTATTGTAATTTATTTGATCAAAAATAATGATTGTAATTTATTTGATCAAAAATACAATAAAAAGTAGTAATATACATAGCTTTCAGTCACGTGACCGGCTCGAAGACCTGGAGGGCAAAACATCCTGCAGGACAAGCCTGTCAATTTTCCACCTGTCTCACAGCAGCAAATATTTAGATCACCTCTCAAAAGAATAAAACAAAGGTATGTTAACAAAATGCAAGTTTTGGCCATTTGCAATCCATATTAAGCACCCGCGGCAATATTTCAATCATTAAACAGTACGACAAAACGTTGTAAAAACACTTAATATATTTAAAACAGTAATATTCTCTATATTAATGATGCATAGTTTGCATAGGCAAGCAGATGAGGCCGGAATATGAATGAAATTCGCTTAATGGTTCAGCGTTTTCCTTCTAATGGTTTTCTGTGGGAAACCATTTAACGTGAAACTTTGCACATTGCGTTTATATTCTGGCTTCATCTGCTTGCCTGTACAAAATAAACATAATAAGGTGTTTACTGAATTTCGCCTTTTAATATCTGCGTTTTACTACATTATTACTTAATGAAAACTGCGTAAAAATAACTGGCGGTCAGTGGAGCAAAGCTTCGTTTTGCCCTCAAGGTGGGCGTTCCTATAAGGGTGTGACATCACGTGAAAACTATCAATTGAAACAATATTTTATATGTATTCATCTGTTAAACACAGCGGACACACATAAAAGAAGAATTGTTGAATAAATTGTGTTATTTTTGTTTTCTTTGCGCACAAAAAGTATTCTCATAGCTTCGCAAAATTGAAGTTGAGCCACTGATGTCACATGGACTGTTTTACCAATGTCCTTGCTACGTTTCTGGGTCTGGGAACATTTCAGTTGTGTTGCTGTCTATGGAGGGTCAGAGAGCTCTCAGATTTCATCAAAAACATTTTAATTTGTATTCCAAAGATGAACAAAAGTCTTACGGGTTTGGAACGACATGAGGGTGAGTGATTAATGACAGAATTTTCATTTTTGGGTGAACTAACCCTTTAAGTGACATAAAATGGTGACAAAAAACTTTATTTATTTTTGTCTAGTTTAATTTAAAGTACTAAAAATAACTCAAATTAAATTAAAGCTTAATAAAATTAAAAAAAAATTACAATTAAAATGAAAACAAAAATAAAATCTAATCCAAAATATTATATATATATAATATTATATAATACAGTATAACAATAAAATAACACTGCGTATATATTTCAGAGAATATTCAGAGTGACTGGCACACATGCTCTCAGAAATAAGCACCAAATTGTCCTCTATTTGTCCCTAAAGGGATCTGAACCCAGGTGTTCAGCAGTCTCAGGGTGTGACGAGTGTGGACACCTGTCTGTGTGATACACCTGTAAGGAATATTGTTAGTCCTACATCAGTATCACCAAAACGTATGCATGCAAACAACATTACCACAGTTCTGTGCCATTTCACATTTGCTGATCTCAAGAGTCCTTCGTTTGCACTGGAAAAGGCGAGGGCAACAGCTGAGATGGCATCAGGTGTGTGCATGTTTGGGTTCTTTCTCATAATAACTGAAAGAACAGTCATCGGGCTAGACTTGACCTTGGAATGGCAGGCAAATGCAGATCTAAATGCAAGTACATACTAATACAGAGTGAACTTTAAATGAACAGTATCTAATAAAAAAAGTATCTTAAGGGCTCTTGTCCCTGTAGGCTTCATTCTGACACATACACTTCCTGAAGTCTTTTTCCCCTCATTCTCAGTGACTGCTTGAGTCCCTTTAAGCAGTATATGATCTAAGTGAAATTAGGTGTGTGTGTGTTTCAAACAAGATTAAAAAGACTATGCCATTGGTGACTTGATTCCAGCTGACTTTGTATACTGTATATAGCCTATACATGGTGACAAATATAGGCTAGTATTATTATATGTGACCCATTTAGTGCACTGTGCTTTTTTTGTTTATTTTTTTCTCGAGTTGTACTTCTCTTTCTACCAATATCAAGCTTCATTTTTTTTCCAAGTTATCTTTTTCCTTAATATTTTCACTGAATGGTTTTGTAAACACAAGCAAACCAAAATATATGCATATATATGCATACCATCTTCATGCATATTTTCATGTTATTGTCTTGATTCTTTGCCCACCTTCTTGGTCGAATTAAAAGGAGATCATGATTATGTAATGTCAAAGGAGATAATGATTATGTAGCTGAGTTGGAATCTGTACTGTGTTTCCACAAACTTGAGTGAGCTTCAAGCAAATGTCACTGGACATAGAACTACCCCTACAGAATACTGAATGGTAAACTGCATAAAACACAATGTAGCCTAATAAATAGCTATATGCTACACATTTAATTAAATGTTTTTTTTTTTTTTATCTTGGATTTAAATGGTTTTATCTTGTCAATACCAAAATAGTTTGTGCACGCTGCTGCGTTTCAGAGCCTTATTCCCACTTAAATTTGAACGAGTGAACAGAATGTTCAAGCAATATTTGATACACAGTCAGCCAACATATTTTGGACTGACAAAACTATATTTTATAGTGCAAATAAATTGTAATTAGATATCGTCCAATAGAGAAAAAGATTATTGCCACGGTTCATTTTATCAAACCCAATCCCTGTCTGTCTCCATGGAGCTCCAGAGCGTCTTTAAAGCCGAACACAATCGGCTCTTTCCGTACATAGAAACGGTTTTTGTCGAAGACACTCGGCTCTTTCCCTGGGTACTCGGCTTTTCCGAAGTAGAGGATTGATTAAAGCCGAAGTCTCCCGGCTATCTTCGTATCGAGGAACGATTAATCCCGAAGTTACTCGGCTCTTTCCGTATGGAGCCGCGATTACAGCCGATTCCCCTCTCTGCGCTCGCGACTCTGGCACATCACTCATTTAGCGTTGTTTTGGTCTTGACCTATCATACTTACAAGCGCATTTCTCTTAAACAAGAAAATGGAAACCACTAATCAGGTAGAAAATAGCGTTTGTGCATTTGACAATATCTAATGAAAATGACGAGACATGTTTAAAATGTACTGAACTGTGCCTAATCAAACTACATTAAATGACGCTAGTGATCATGTTCATTTGTTATTATACAGATTGTGTCACTTGGGACATTCCAAGTGCTTAAATTACCTTTGGGATTTATCCGCGTTCTGGAATGGGTAAGTGTGTGTAAAACACGCGTTTTTTCTCTCTTCTCTCTTTCTCTCCTCTCTTTCCTTTACTTTTCTCAAATGGCTCAGTAAACTTGGTCCAGGCATGTGTGAGGGAGCGAGTGATTTTTACTATCTTTTATTTGTTCAATCATGTGCCGCAGTCAGTTTTAAATAAGTAGCCTTATGTGGCACAGCCATATTTATAATAGGAGTCTTATTCCATTTGCGCATTTTTATTATCAGCAGAATCTGAATTGACCGTGTTGAACGGATATCTTGGATATCTAAGTTTTCATAACCGTTTCATTTATTTCAAACATGTGAAATACTCCGTGTAAGTGACATTCTATTGATGTCATGATCAATCCTATATACATGAACCGAGGTGCTCGGGTTTATATAATGCACCAGCAGTCAATTCATTTCATGGGTTTTGCTGTTACTCACATTCTACTGCTATAAATAAGCAATTGGTAAACGTAAATGGAGTAAGTTTTAAGATGACCTCCAAACTTGATGTCTGAATTTAATGTAAACTGTAAATACATAATCAGTGATAGACAGGATTTAGCATTTAAGTCAAATCATTGCAGATGACCTTTTTTGCTTTCTGCAAATGAGGTCTGTCCATGTATAAGAGAACTGATTATTTAATGTATTTATTTATTTATTATTACAATTATTATTTTACACAATCAGATGAGTTAATACATCTGCTTTGATATTTATTCCTTGTGTAGGTATGGTTCATCCGATATTGGTGCAGTATGAATGAAGTGTACAGGGACATGTTAGTTAATACAACGTGTCTCTTATTTTATACTTTATGTAGCCAATAAACATTAGTTAAATCATTTTGAACATGATGTATTATGATCATTTAATCCTGTTCAGTTTAAAAGAAATCTTTGGTGACCAAATGTCAGTATAGGATGTTTTAAGCTTTTATTGTTAAATGCAACCCCATAACCGTGCTAACTAAAAATGACCGTCCTGCAACTTATTATAGCCTCCAGTGTGAAAACAGCTAAAATGTGTTTTCCCACGGCCATCTGATGAGTGTGGGTCAGGGAAGTGTGTGTTCGACTCACCATGGTGTCACACTCTGGTGCTCTGACATAATCTTCTTGATTAACTTCTTCTCAAGTAACTGATCTCTGAGGACATGTCCAGCTTCTCTGTATTTGTGTCCATCTGTTTTCTGCACTGTTAGTGCTGCTATGTGGCTTTAGTACCCTATTATCAGACACTTTGCACAACAGCAGGATTCCCAGAAACTAAAACTTTCAGGAAATAGTATTTTCAAATGGGATGCTATCGTTAGCACATGGCAAGACATGCTCAGTGCTTGCAGCTCTTAAAGTTAATTTACTGTGCTAAGAAAAAAAAAGTCTGGCCTGGACTTAAAAGCCTATTTGAAATGGCAAATTGATTGTGTTCTCACTTTGTACAGCCAGACTCACTGATAAAATTGCTGTCTGTTTCCCAGATGATATAGAATAGAATAGAATAGAATAGAATAGAATTACTAAGCCTCTCAAATGCTGTCCACAATGTTCTCAGCAACGCAACTGCACAAAGTCAAAAAGTCAATTGCTCTCCTAGACCCCTTTTTCGTCATCAAATGTATGGAGAGGTGAAAATTAAAACATTTACAACGCCAACCATAAACGGCTCTGAGCTATGCAAATGTGAGGCAGACATAAGTGGCAACGCCATTTTGGATAATTATTGCAATTGAATGCTGGGGGATTGGAGGATGCGATGCATCTTCTCCTGAGGAAATTAATCTCCCTGCACTCCATTTGAAGTGTCCTCTGGAAAAAAAAAGAGAGAAGCTTATCACCGGGGAAACATGCAGTCTTAATCACTTTTGGTCACACAGTGGCTTTTCTCTCTGTGTTTCTGTCTGTGTATCTCTCTCTCCCTTTCTGCAGGTCTTTGGTTTTGTCTCTGCCTCTGTAGTTTCCTCTCTGCCAGCTTTTTTTTTCTCTTTTTTTTAACACAGCAATCCTGTACAGCCATCCTCTTGATATTTGCCCTCTCTCTCATTCTCTCAAAAGCCATTATTTGTGATAATTAGCCAATTATTGAGCTGTTGAAATGAGATGACTCAGTGAGACCAGTGACACATATTAAAATATGCAAAATTATGCATCATCATAATTAAATCATTTTGGATGGATAATATAATATAATATAATATAATATAATGTAATGTAATGTAATGTAATGTAATAATATATTATTATTATATAAGAAAAACACAATACAAATATGCCAAGTCTTCAATAATGTACATTATTATTTGTTTACCTGAATATGAAACCTTGAGCAAAATACCTCAGAGAGCTTATACAGACAATTTATACAGTAGGCCAGTGTGATTCACTGAAGTAAAGTTGACTGACAGGAGCAAGGGTGTTTTACAAATTCACAGAAGAATGGTTGGTTGACTACATGGAGATGTTTGTCAGTTCACTAGAAAGGTTGACTGACTGTGGGCAGATGTGCTTTGGCTACCTGTGCGCAGATGTGCAGAAATTCTTCTCTGAAAGCTTGGCTGTCTCTCCGTTTTTCGATCTCGAGTCTGCAGTCACATGAGGCGGCTGTTTCATGACCCACCTTTTTATCACATGGATAAGACAAAACAGAAACTGAAGAGCTAAACCGAGTCTTGTTACTTAACGTCCAGTAAATTATAACAAATAAGTACAACTGTAAAACTTTAAAATCTTCTGGTAAAATCTTTCAATAACCCAATGATTTGTGATTCGATTATGATAAAAGCCAGAGCTACCATCAATACATAAGCCCCAACCTACATGCATATAAACATACTCAAAACACACACGCTCAAATATACAGTCGAATCGCATCCTGGTCGGGTGGCCGAGTCTGACTAACCGCTGTGACAGTCACCTCAGGGCAGGGGGAGGGGCTTTGCGATATCATGTGACCAAGTAGCCATGGAAACTCCATAGGGAGACAGCAACTGAAGAAAAAGAATGGGGACAGTGTTTAAAAAAAAAAGTGAGATTTTATGCCTACTTATGATCAGTGAAGCATACAAAGAGCGCCCAGATACACACTGGCTGTTATAGGTGCATTGTACAGATGGGTAATGAGCTCTGGGAACATCCAATGAGTGTTCTTCTAATTTCAACACAGATTATGTCATAAACAACTAGGAGCTGGAAATTTCTCTCAGTGAATATACACTGATAATAACCCATTTTGGGTTCCTCAAAGAACCTTTCAGTAAAAGAACCGTGATTTTTCTTAGATTGAAGAGTATTTGGATAATCTGAAGAACCTTTTCCCACTATAAAGAATTGAAATGATCCATGAATGTTAAAGGCTCTTCATGAAGCCATCAATGCCAATAAGGAACCTTTATTTTTAAGTGTGTAGGGATCTGAAAATTGTCGGAAAGACAATTCCCCTCTTTAGGACTGATTTAGATCTCTTAAATATAGTATGCGTTCATCAGGTTATCTGGTTAGTGTTAAATCACTGTTGTTAGCCAGTTTGACATCTTGCAAGAAGTGACTGATACTTCCGTGAGAGAACATGGGATATTTTTACTCCTGCCACATACTGGGAATCATTGGAATGAAGCGTGGCATGAATGCAGTGGTTGGGGGATGGAAAGGTTTTGGCGGAATTTTTATGTGTGTGTGTTTATATATACTGTATATGCTTGTGTGTGTGCGTGTATGTGCATTCAGCAGCATTTAGTCACCTACCAGAAACATTCAGGAAGTGTTACGCTGTCTGAGAGAGAGATGCTGAAGTGTTCAATACAGGCTGAAAGCAGAGTGGTACACAGACGCGTCGCTCTTGAGCATGTGTTGTGTGTGTTCACCCATGGATAAGTGATGAGTGGATGCTTTAATGTGACACAGGTGCATTCTGATCTATATCCACTGACAAAACCAACAAAATCATTTTAAAAAGCAGCGTAAATTGGAAGACGTTGCTCTTTAGAGTTCACATCTGTTCTGCAGTTCTCTATCAGTTGCTATTCTTCCTTTCTTCATTATAAGTTCAGATGGTAATAGTAACTATGGAATATTGTTAGGTGGTTGTCTAAACAACTACACTGTAAAAGTTTGAGTTTGAGTTTTCTCAACTTGTTGTTTCAATTTACAACAAAAAGTTGAGAACTCAAAAATCTCCTGAAGCTGGTTGCCTTAAACTTTTAAGTTTTCTCAAATTTGGATTTTTTTACAGTGTAGTCAACTAATCAAACCCTATATAACTACATTGGGTTAGGGTCCATGCACTAGATACCAATGAGTACTTTTTTAGTACTGGCATCTTCACCTTTGAACAACTTTTTGTAAATGTTTATTTTTTTTATTTTTTATTTTTTTTTTGCATAAAATGCAGCTCATAGGCCAGAATAATAATATAATATTATTACACTATAATAAAATATAAACAAAAATATATATTCTTTATAAAACTAAATTACTAAAACTGGACTAAAAATAAATTAACGCTAAATAGGAATATTTAAAAAAAGGACAAAAAGCACATAAAATGACTAAAATGTAAACTAAATTAATAAAAAATAAGAAGAAATAATAATAATGATAATAATAATAATTTATATATTCTGAGTTGTTCAGTGCTTTAAACACCAGTAGTACCATGTAAAGTAAAATATCTCATGCCCTCCATTTTTCTTTTCCTTCCATCACTTCCTCTCCCCTCTCTCACGCTTTCTCTCTCTCATTCAGAATAGCTGTGTGTCTATGAAGGCAGTGGGTCTGTTTTGGTTTAATCTTCTCCCCCTCTCCTCCTCTCTGCGCTCTTCAGTCTTGCCCTGCAGAACACAGCTGGGAAAGCTTGATAAACAAGCCACGGCATCGTAACACTCACCCGCTCGTAGTCACACCAGTGTGCGTGTGTGAGAAAGAGCGAGACAGAGAGAAACTGAGAGCAGAGGGATGGAGAGGAGAGCGCAGCTGTAATGGATGAGAGGAGAGGGGGTGGGTCTCTAGAGCTTGAGGCGAGAGTGTTTGGGGTATGTGTGCATGTGTGCTTGTTTGTTTGGGCAAGCGTGTGCTCATTCATGTGAGAGTGTGCATCTAGTGCAGTGGTGTGAGCTCCACTGACTCGCACTATTTTGCCACACTGTTCACACACATGCTGAAGACTTTGACTTCTATTGTTTTATACTGACACTTGTGGCATTATATAAAAAAATTTAAATCTGGGTTACAGTGAGGCACTTACAGTGGAAGTGAATGGGGTCAATCTGTAAACCAGTGTTATTTTAGTTAATACTATGATATAATGGTATAATACAATGGAGATAGTTTAATAAAACGTTTTGAATTAGCTTTTATTTTTATGTTTTGAGTTTTCAAAGTTTTCCTGATTTACTCAGTGTTGTTTCAAACCTGTATGACTTTCTTCTGCATAACACAAAAGAAGATATTTTGTGGGGGGGTCACCAATACTGTTTGGTTATAACTTTCTTCAAAATATCTTATTTTGTGTTTCACAGAGGTAAAATGACACAAGTGTGAGAATTTTTTACTTTTTCTATTTTTCCCAAATATTTTTATTTAGCTTTTATTTATATTTATTTAAATTTTAGCAATTCAACTTCAACATTTCTCATCTTCATTTAGAAAATACTTAGTTCCCGTCCTTGATGACAGTTATAAACTATTTTACAACTTCATTTCCATGACAACATAATGTCTAAAAACCTAAAGTGACAAATTACAGCTCAAATAATACACAAGTTTTAACAGGAAAAATAATTTAAGTGCTTTGATAAAATTATAAGCTTCACATTTCTCATTTCAAATCCTCTAAAAATTGGTCTCATTTAGTTTAATTGTAAGCTTCTCACTGTAACCTCCTTTTTATTTTGAGGGGCATTATTTCTTGTGTTAATCAAAATCATGAATGCTGTTGATTAAGCTTAACCCTTATTAAGACCCTTATTAACCTTATTAATTACTGCAGATGAGATAAGTGAGTAAGTGGCAGTAGCTTAAGCAGGAACAGATTAGAGTATCATCATTATGACTCACCTGCCCCTTTCTGGGTCTTGTCTGGGTCCCAGAAGTCCACATTATCTGCAGTGCAATCGGTATAGTACAGTTATGTGATCAGTCCAGGCTTGTTGACTTGGTGTTTTGTGTCTAAATGATTTGGTAAGTTATTTCCAAGTTCTGAATTAACTGTAGTGAAAACAATCCCCTACAGATTTGTCACTGTCTGTAACTGTAACTACTCAGTTTTGAGGCTCATCTCAGTGCTGCCCCCAGATGGCGCTAATTGCTTCATTTTCATTATAAGATATCACATCCACTATTACATAATCATCCACTTACACATTAATATACAATCCAGTCTAAATGGCAAAAAGACCAAAAGGGCGAATATTGGTTAGGAAGTAGATTGTTTTCCTAGCAATGTTAATGTTAATTATTACAAGGCTTGACTTCATGTCTTCTTATGCTAATGCTTTTACCCATTTAGAAAATATTACTTTGTTGCTTAGAATGGAAATTGTTTAAATCTTGCAGTCTTTTAAAATGTTACAGCTCAAAGTCACCTAAAGGTATTTATACTATTTTTAATTATTTTTATAAGAATAAAATATTTCTAAATCTAAATATTTCATTGTATTTTGTATATGTTCTCATCTCAGCATGTTTATATGGAAGTTCCATTTACAGGCTAGTATTTCCTAACTAAAACAGATGAGGGCAGCAGAGGGGCTAATTTGAAGTTACGGTCACTTGGTTTGAAAATAATGACAATGTCAAAAAAAACAAAAAAAAACCTTGCTTAAAGTAAATGTCAGGGAGTCTCTGTCAGCAGTCACCAGTCACGACGGTCACCTGATCACAATCACCCATGTTCTGATTCCCCTCACCTGCTGCAGCTCATCAAGCTCTCCTTCATAAGCACACTCCACTCAGACACTCATTGTCCGATCTAACGTTCACCTCAGACTTTACCATGCTCCATCGCTCCAGTGCCTCCACGATCATCCTGCAAGGACTCAAACCCCCTACTCCGCCAGCTAAGCCATTTGGACTTTCACTCTCTGTGTTTTACTCATCTCTCGCCTGCTCCTGGTTCTCCCTGTTTCACAGTCAATAAACTCCTCTGTTTGATCACTACCTCTGTGTCCCTAGCCTGAGTCGTGACACGGTTTGGATTAAAAGAAAGTATAGTCACATTTTTTTTTAATTAGCATGTTTTTGTGTTTTGCTTTGGTACCGAAATTGGTACCGAGAACAGTGGATTTTCACTGGTATTGGTACCGAATACTGAAATTTTGGTACCGTGACAACACTAGTACAGTTAATATATAAGCGGAGATCCGTATGAAAAAAGGACTGGAAAGATAGCAGCAAACACCCCAACTTAATCAAGGTGAAAGCTCTGTTCCCTTTACGACGCGGAACGTGCCTTCCGGGAGGGGGAGGTAATGTCAGGGAGTCTCTGTCAGCAGTCACCAGTCACGCGCTCACCTGATCACAATCACCCATGTTCTGATTCCCTTCACCTGCTGCAGCTCATTAAGCTCTCCTTCATAAGCACACTCCACTCAGACACTCATTGTCCGATCTACCGTTCACCTCAGACTTTCCCGTGCTCCACCGCTCCAGTTCTCCACCGATCCAGTGCCTCCACGATCATCCTGCAAGGACTCAAACCCCCTACTCCGCCAGCTAAGCCATTTGGACTTTCACTCTCTGTGTTTTACTCATCTCTCGTCTGCTCCTGGTTCTCCCTGCCTCACAGTCAATAAACTCCTCTGTTTGATCACTACCTCTGTGTCCCTAGCTTGTGTCGTGACAGTAAATGTGTGTAGTAAATATAGAGTCAGTTTATTTCAGTTTATTTTATTTTATTTAGTTTTAATTATGTTAGTATTTCAAGTTAAATTAAACAAAATGAGAATTGCCGCAGTAACTGGCTGAATAAAATACTTTTATTAGATTTAATTTTATTTAAGTTAACAAACATTATTATTTATATATCCTATATATATTACTCTGCTCCAAACTTGTGTGAATCTTTCTCTGTCAGGCAACAACGTGAATCAGAATGTCTCTTTTCTGTACAATGCAATGAGGTGTTCAAGCTTTGAAAACATCAAGAAAGTACCATAAAAGTAATCCATATGACAAGTCTACCTGTTACACTTAGACACAGAGCTGTAGTCCCTTTCTAGACCTCCATTACAGTGAGCTCAGTGCTGAAGCCACATTTAAAACAAATTAGCAGTTCTCTGATAACCATCAGTACACTGTCGATACAGGGCCACCTCTCTGACGTGCTCTACCGATTCACATAAATGAGAAATTGGATTCCTTGAGTCTCTCAGGCTAAGACCACTGGGTTTAAATAAATACTTCCCTCTGTAACTCAATACTAACCACAGGAGAAATTAATTTCAAGCAGGGTTTCAAAGGACTTTTCCTCTATCTGATACACTCAGCTGTGAAATATGAAGGCGGTATGATCCAAAGCTCCAACAATGAAGTACCAGCCAAGCACTACTGTGATTTCAGGCAACTAAAATTATTCATCTTTAAACATTTTTTAGAGGCACTTGAAATTATGAAAAATGAGACTTATTTTCTAAATACACAAAATAACAGCAGTTTTAAATCCATTCCAGCATAGCATATCTCCCACTGGGAGGATTTTCTGTATCCCTGCAATACATTTCAATGACATGGATCATTGTCAATGTTCAATGCAGTTAGTGCAGCATTCAGCCTGTCCTGTTGCTTTTTGGGAATATGTGTGAGTGTGGATGTCTGTGCCTGTGTGTGTGAGTCAAGGAAGTATCTGAAGTTGTTTAGCAGCCCTGGTTCTGGTGTAGCTCTGGTTTCAGTGAGGCTGAATGATTGACACATCAATAAGGGATTGTAGGAGCTCTTCGCAGTGACACTGTGGTGTAGGTGGTTTCGAAGATGCACATACTGTATGTGCATGAGTTCTTAATTGAAATGCATTTTTTGCCATTGATCTGAGATGTGTTATCCCGATATACTGTAAGGCACAATCAGTACAGAAAAATTTCAGATTAGATAGATGTAACTTCAGTGTGGTTTGTTCTGTTCGTACCCTTATATTTAAAGGATGTCCTAAATAATAATGAGGGTTTTAGGTTCACTTGTGTTTCATAAAGAGCGTTTACATACTCTTGTTTATCATAATGCATTGCTTTATAGAGAATGACTTTTAAAGATGCAACTTTTCTGTGTTAGTGTGCAAACTGTCAGCTAACACCAAAAGCAGCATACTTTTAGCATGCTTGTTAACATACCACCACTAAAATAATCAAATCAAGAATAGAAAATCTGTAGGGAATAATCTAGATCAGGGCTGTCCAAACTCGGTCCTGGAGGGCCGGTGTCCCGGTCCTGGATCCTGCAGAGTTTAGCTCCAACTTGCCTCAACACACCTGACTGGAAGTTTCTATGCCTAGTATGCCTAGTATTAGCTGGTTCAGGTGTGTTTAATTAGGGTTGGAGCGGACACAGACCCTCCAGGACCGAGTCTGGAGACCCCTGATCTACACTAATACACAAATGTCTGTATAATCAGCCAATAAAATGTTATCCATTTAGTCCCATTACAGTCTCTTTATATAAAGCAACTCAAATATTTCTTGTCTCACAGAGGCAGTGGGGTTCAGTCACTCTTAATGGAAGAACGCCTCATAAAAGCAGTTCTAATGGAAATTTGCTGCCAAAAGACACTCAGAGGAGTGAAACGGTGAGGTAAGACTTCAGTATACCATGCTTTGGATGCTTTGAAAGTTTGGAAAGTGTCACTAGATGGAGCTGTTTATTCACTTTGCAAGGTGTGTGTGTTAAGACTAGATTCACTGTTACACTGGTAATTATCATTTTTAATAAGTCTATGTCTATGCTCTCCAAGGCTGCATTTATTTATTACATTTATTAAATTACAGTAAACACTAATGTTGTGAAATGTGTCCATTTAAAATATCTATTTGAATGTTTTAACATATACTATATTCCTGTGATCAAAGCTGAATTTTCAGCATCATTACTCCAGTCTTCAGTGTCATATGATCTTTCAGAAATCATTC